GAGAGAGAGAGAGAGAGAGAGAGAGAGAGAGAGAGAGAGAGAGAGAGGGAGAGAGAGATGGAGAAGATAGATCATAAAAAAAACATTGTTGGTTTTGTCTAAAACATTTATCGTTATAGGACGAAAAGAATCAGATAATGCTGGCCAATATCTGGCTACAGATGGTAAGTGAGGAACATTCGACAACCCCTCCCCAACCTGCATGTAGCCCCTCCCTCCCGCCAACCCTCTCCCCCTCCCCCCATACACCCCTCAACACACCAGCCAGGAGTGTGACGTCATCAATAGCGTGACGGTGACGTCATTCCTGGCAGTAGGTAGTCGGTAATAGGGAGAAAGTAGGCGTTTTGTGTGAGTAGGTACGTGTGTGTGCGTGCGTGCGTGTGTGTTTGATTGTAGCTACAACCCGCTTCCCCGTGTGCGCGCACGCGTGTGCGTGTGGCTATAGTGCAACGCCGGAGTACGACTAGCGGTGTGCTGCGTAACCCGAGCAGTTATTGTTTGTTTTGTGTTTGTTGTAGGATGAAAAGAATCAAATATTAACGGCTAATGTGTGGTTGAATTTTGTAAGTACGCATGCCCACCTGCATGTATGTGTAGCACAGTCGATATTCTCCCCCATGGAAAACGTACACCCTTCAACAGCTAAAATTCAAAAGCTAATAATTATAGCACTCCTATGCGCATGCGCAACGTCAAAGGGAGTACGTTTGTCACAAGGGGTTCGTCTACGATGCTACACATTTGCCTACCTCTGCATGGATTCACTCACGGTCTACGCTCACAGCGACGGACTCTCAAGCCTCGAACATATATGTATTCGTGCATCTTCGTGTAATCTTTTTTTTCTAAATCTATTTACTAAATTGAAACTTTCCATACGATTGATACTTTCTAATTCTTTTCCATTAAAAAAGTTTAAATTTGTATAATTTGTGTACGGAACACCTTTGTCAAATTATTGATTGATTTAAGATTGCGGTTCACGCTGTAGTAGGAGGAGAAGGGGGAGGAAAACACGGGAAAGGAGGACGAAGGGCGGAGGGAGTAGCAGCATTAGCATGCACGAGCATCACAACCACCACCACACGCACCACCACCACTACCACCCCCACCACAACCATCACCACCACCATCA